GCTATCAGCAACTTTGGTTTAAAAATATCGGCCTCAGTATCAGTCTTCAAAAGCTCCTATCAGTCAAATCCTACTTCAGATATATAACACTCACACACACTCCCTCCCTACCTCTAGCTCTCTGTCTCTCTGTCTCTCTGTCTCTCTCTCTCTCTCTCTCTCGCACACGCACACACACACACACACACACACACACACACACACACACACACACACACACACACACACAATAGCATCCCTGTGATGGAAAGAAGTGTTTGTTTAGAGGGCTGTTGGCTGGCCAGCCCCATGCTGCTGCCGGAGCAGAGCAGGAGGTGACGGTGGCCTGGATGGAGGTGTGAGGCCAGGCGGAGCAGTCACACAGCAGGGACAGATCACACCATCCACACGTCCAGGCAGGTGGGAGCTACCAGTGGTGTCATTCAGGATCTGCAGTGGATATTTCTCTGTGCTTGTTTAGAGGTATTTTGTTCTGGTGATCATTTGAGTTTGAGCACAAGATTATTCTCTTTAGTGTTGTCTGGACTTGATGGTTTTACTCTTCGGACTGTGTCTGCATTGGTGTATATATATTTGAGCATTTTGTAAACTTTGTCAGTTTGCTTTTACATGATTTGATAGTTTTTGATCATCTATTAGAAAGTTTGCGGAGAACAGAAGAGTCATAAGGCTAAAAGGTGGAAATGTCTGGGCTCATCTTGTTTGGTGGTACAACTTTCTTATTCCTATCATGAAACTGGTTTATTTGAATGTCTAGTAAATAAGTCTACTGTATATATACTGTAGTAAGCCTGCAGCTAACAGAAGTATTCATTGTTGATTAATGTATCTGTTAATTGATAACTGTTCTTTATTGGTTGGTTAAGACGGATTGATTTAGATGCAATGATTAATATTTCATATATTTAAAAAAAAATGTCATAAATACTGAACCCAAACTGACATCTTCGACTAACTTATTTTGCTTGAGCATCAGTTCAGACGTCCAAAGGGAGGCCTATTTAGTGATATTAAATAAGGAAAAGCGGGAATATCTTTGCTTTTGTAAACTGCAAATAATTATTTTCACTCCACAAGATTTTGTAGGGCATAAAGCAAACTTTCAATGTTATGGTCAAATCATTTTCTTTTCATTGGGTGTTTAAAGAGTTAAATATTTAAGTGGTTTGGCACTTTATTTTTGAATAGCTGACAGTAGAGAGGTGACAAGAACAGGGAGAGAGAGGATGGGTTACGAACAATAAAGGTCCCCAACTGGATTTGAACTGGGCATGTTGCAGTTACATATACATCATCTTAGACCCCTAAGCCATCAGGAGTCCTCATGAAAAGTTGAGCTTTTATCTGAAAACTTTGGGTATAGTGCTCTTGGAACTGGTACGTAATGCTGACGGACATGAACCTAACCTCAAGATATGGTCGATGATTCCACCGCAGACAGTACTCTTCTCTCTTGAACATTGAGTCCATGTAAAGCAAGAATGACGTTTCTCTCTTGACCAGTCAACGGACTGCAGTGATTCTAGCTCCACCTTTAAGTATCAGATCAATATGCTAGGTACCTCAACAGAGGGCTGATGACAAACAAGATGAAATGTAGGGGTTCTGTTGATACCATCCACAACTTCTGACGATGGCGAGGAAGAAATAACCGTTCTAATGCATAATGAACTGAAATGAACTGAACAAGACTGCTTGGTTGAAACAAAGCTTTTGTAAATACAGTAACCCATGGTATATACTGAACATCACAGACTGATTAGTGATATACAACAATAAAAGAAAACACAAGGGAGGATTGCCTAAAGGGACAGAAAGTGATTTGGTCTGCCTTTTTAAAGCATAGACTGTAAGATCCAAGGCTCTGTAGCTGATGGCGTTGAGTTGAATAGTTTCCTCTGGCTTTTCTGAGCTCTGGTCCCTGCAGGTTTTAAATAACAAGAAGTTTCAGTATGCATACCCCCAGAGAGGCGGGGTTTGGGAGCATCTCAGCAGGATGGGCTTGGCATTTGTGACGGGGTATCTTAATAAAGCATATTTTCTGCAGGCTGCTGCTGTTAAAACTCCAACTATTTGAGGGGATTTGGATTTAAGGACAGTCGGGGAGTGATTTAGTCACTCAAATAAGGTTTAGGTCGGAGGTATTAAAGAAAGGCATTTCAGAAAGGTCTGCATTCATATCGTTCCTATGTTTTCTGCTGTATCACCTCTAAGAGCAGCATATGTCAGCCCCTCCAACAGCTGTTTCTCGGGTCAGAGGTCACTGAAACGACAGTAGGGGTTACACTGCTGTTTCGACTCAATCAGTGACCTGAAGTGCACCAGCCTCTGCAAACACTCACATGACTCAGATAAACACAGAGTTTAAACTAGGAGTAGAACAAGCTGTAGTAATCAAGGATTGGATTGAATGATAACAATATGGTACAGTTTTTAAGGTTATCGCTTTTAATCTCACAGATTAATAAGCAAGTAGTAATTAAGCATGTGCGATGTAAATGTGCTGACTGATATTCTGGTAGTGGAGAACCCTGCTGTATTATAATAGGAGATGTAACGAATAGTAATACAGCAGTGGATGTAAGTAGTATTAATGATGGTGTAGGTGTCACTAATAGTGATATGGTAGTAAATGGAAATAATGTAAATGTGTTAGTGCTTGTTACTAATAGAAGTATGTTTGCAGATGTGAGTAGCACGAATGAGATAGTAACAGTAGATTTAGTCACATCACTATGTACCTTGTATGCATGAATCAGACACTTTAATAGAGGCGGATGCGCTTTTACTTCAGCTTCTCACCTCACAGCCGGATACTTCCTAACAGGAGAAGCATGGAGGGAGCTGTAGGTCAAGCTATATTTAGTTGGTGCATATTAAGTGTAATCATGTCATTAATCTTTAGTGAGCAGGGCCCTCCCGGATGCAGCCCACACCCGGCCTCGTTTACAAAGGACACAGTTCATATGTATTTTAGTTTAGAAACCACCTGGAGTATCACTGCTCTATATCTGTACTCCCTTGGCTGTGAGATTATATTTAAGCTGTTGTACTTTCCAAGCAGGTTTGTTGTAAGTACACTGTGGCACATTAGCCTCAGCGTGTTATAAACCTACTCTCACTGGTAATAAATGTCATGCTGAAAAAGATTTAGCACCTCTTTAACCTTTGTGCATACTGTAAAATGCTTTTTAAATGTCCATTTCACAGTCAATCCTTCACTTAATTGCCTTGCCTGGAGGACAGCCTAACAGTCAGAGCAACGGTCGTGCCATATTGATATCTTTTGTGCCGTACCTTGTGTGTTTGCTCATTGGAAACAACAGTTGGTAAACTTTGATCGCACAATCATTAATCTGCGGTGACTCTGCTTGATGACTTGTTTTATGTGGTTTACTTTGTGATTACGTGGGCCAGCCAGCACACTCGCTGTATAATGGGTCACATGGGCTCTAAACAAAGCCTGTCTGCCTATCAAATCCTCTCGCAGTCCAGTGACAGCTCAGCAGTCTGCTCAGGTTGCCAGGGCTGCTGTCATAGCAACTGTGTCAGTGTAGATGGTTTGCTTCTCCCTTGCCCTGCTGACGAAAGTCTGCTTGGTTTGAATCCTGTTTTGACTGTGTCACCAGTGTGGCCAATATTGTGTTGTGAGCTTTGCTCAGCACGATATGAGCAGCCAGTCACTAAATATAAAGCTTTTCCTTCCACTTTCCAACACTGGTTTGTCTGCCAAAGTACCATTTGTTTGCTATCCAGCTTGATATCTAGAAAACTAGTTGGGACATTTTAATTGAAATGGTGTTAATACTTATTTTACCACTCCTCTTACAAATCTCATAACACATTTGGATGAATATGGAAAAATAAGTTGTTTTTTTTTGTTTTGTTTTACATCCCATATAATTTCCTGTGTTATTGGTCAAAGGAAGCCGATTTGACATATCTACATGTGCTGAAACAACTTGATAAATTGTAGTCGTCATTAGTCTGACTCATTTAAAATCTTGTAGAAAACATCCTTGTACAAAGCCTTAACAGTTCTCATCGAGACACAGACATTCTCTTAAAAACATGGCAACCATTACGTGCAGATCTGGATCACGGATCCAAGCAGCCGAAATTCTGAAGTTTCCTCTGTGGGGTGGTCGGGCTCAGCCTTAGAGATAGGGTAAGGAGCTCAGACATCTGCAGGGGGCTCGGAGTAGAGCCACTGCTCCTTCACGTTATAAGGGGTCAGTTGAGGTGGTTCGAGCGTCTGATCAGAATGCCTCCTGGGCGCTGCCCGTTAGATGTGTTCCGGGCACGTCCCACTGGTAGGAGGCCCCGGGGCAGACCCAGAACACGCTGGAGGGATTTCATATCTCATCTGGCCTGGGAACACCTGGGGGTCCCTCAGGAGGAGCTGGAAAGGGTTGCTTTGGAGAGGGACGTCTGGGGTGCTTTCTCTTTGCTTGCTGCCCCCGCCACTCAGTCCCAGATAAGCGTATGAAAATGGATGGATGAATGGATTATGTTATATTATGAAAATAATACATTTATAGGTTTGTGAGACCTTAGCAGATGTATGCATTTCCCAAGTGCCTTGTAAGATTTCAAATGTATGCTGTTTACTGGCATGAAATTAGTATTTATTGCCAAAGACCAATAAATATGAGCAGATTTAGTTCCCCATTACAACAGCCTGTTTTTCATTGTTCCAGCTGTATCAAATCAATGACTAATGAAGGACATATGGATCTGTATTTTATCCTTGTTAGTGAAAATGTTCAGCACCTCTTTCCTGAAATTTTATAGCAACATTCAGGTTGGAACATTTTGTGCTGTCAGCTCTCCTTTAGAGATAGACTTGTAGATGTTCACTTCCAATTTCCCCATAGCGCCATCATGAGAAGCGTGCAAAAGACAGACCGGCATGCTTCCTGACATTATACAAATATGCAAATGTGAATGGAAATGTGCAGGGTGCATTGTCTTACAGCTGTGTCTGTCTTTCTGTCCAGATTGAGAACATTGATGCCTGCCTCAGTTTCCTGGCAGCCAAAGGAGTCAATATCCAGGGTCTGTCTTCAGAGGGTAAGCTGGACTCCTGTACCTCTGCTTTCACTGGAACAAGAAAGGTAGACCCCAACCCAGGCCAAGCCAGGCCAGACCAGAACAGGCTACTAAATGTCCTTTGTGCAATGGAAAAAGAGATAAAGAATGGCTACTTGATACACTGCGGCATTTTTATTGGCAAGCTTTTTTGCCAGGACACACTACATTAATGCCAGACAGTACACATTAAAACACGTAGGCTCAGCAGGGGCTGATTACTCCATATATATTAGTGCTAATGTACCAGAAAGCTTACAATAGTGCTGTGTTTAAATGTAGTCTACGTCCAAAAAAGACTGATGCTGGCTTAAACGTTCACATCATATTATTCACACGAGGAACAACAATAGTACGGGTAGTAATACTGCTAGTGTTATCATTGGGAAGAACAGTGAATCATTGAACTGCAAGAAAGACGCTAGGTCAGTTCTCGGTCCTGTAAGGAGTACATGTTCTCTCAGTGTTCTGTTGGGACTTTTCTCTTGCAATTCAAGAACATACAAGTCAAATAGACTGGAGATCCAAAGACACCAGTAGATGGCACATTACATTCATTCTGTTACTACAGTTTTGCAAGAAAATACCAGCGTACTCGCTGCAGCTCACAGTCTGTTCACTTAATCCCGTCAATGCCAGATAAAGGCATTAGCAGGTGAGGTTAGGGCATGCACGTTCTTCTAAACCAGTGGTTCCCAACTGGTGGGTCAGGGTCCAAAAGTGGGTTGCAGGTCCATTTTGAATGTGCAAGTGACTCTGCTTTTCTAAAATTACATGTAATTTTGAAGTACAGTGAATTTTTGGGCAGCAGTAGCTCAGTCCATAGGGACTTGGGTTGGGAACCGGAGGGTCGCCTGTTCAAGTCCCCGTCCAGACCAAAAATATGGAGCGTGGACTGGTAGCTGGAGAGGTGCCAGTTCACCTCCTGCCGAGGTGCCCCTGAGCAAGGCACCGAACCCCCCAGCCGCTCAGAGCGCCTGTCATGGGCAGCCCACTCTGACATCTCTCCACTTAGTGCATGTATAGGTCCAGTTTGTGCATGTGTGTGTGTTCGGACCTGTGTGTAATTGACAACAGAGTGAAAAATTGAATTTTCCCTCGGGGATTAATAAAATATATAAAATTTAAAAAAAAAATTAATTAAAAAAATTAATTAAAATTTTGAAGTGCTGTTTTGTGCTGTAGGGTGAGTGACTAACGGACAGCTACTTGACAGAGACAGCAAACTAGCTTGATGGCATGTCCGAACACGAGTATGATGCTGAATATATTAAACTGTGGACCGCGAACCAATGACTAAGGAGAAATCTGGACCCCATGGCTGAACCAGTTGGGAACCACTGTTATAAACAATAATTAAACAGTTGTAAACCTAGTCGAAGTCTTTGTAGTCAAACTGAAAATACGCAACAGCAGCAATTGGCATGAAACTGTTGCACAGCTGTGGCGGGCGGTACCCTTTATTAGTCTGGTGAACTGTCCAGGTTGTACCCCATCTCTTCCCCAACGTCAGCTGGGATAGGGGGATAGGGATCCAGCACCCCCGCGACCCCTTACAGGATGAGTGGCTATGGAAATGAATGAATGACCATTTAAGTCTAGGGATGTTCTGATACCTTTTTTTTTTCTTCCCAATACCAATTCCAATCCTTGAATTTGCATATGAGCCGTTAACGACTACTGATCCGATACCAGTACCTAAAGAAATCAGTTGTTGTATTCCACTAACCCTGTACAAATGTGAAATGATTACTGTCGTTGTTGTATGGCATGGCTCAGGTTAAATCCTAAACTGCTGTGACTTTCCATCATAAAATTGCTAATGCTACCATTACATTGTTTCCTTCTTTACCTCACCTGCCTTTTCCTTTTTGATATTCCACTTTGTCCTTCTCCCTGACCTGCAGAGATCCGAAATGGTAATCTGAAAGCCATCCTCGGCCTCTTCTTCAGCTTGTCCCGCTACAAACAGCAGCAGCAGCAGCAGCAGCAGGCCCAGCGGCAGAACTCCCAGCCCTCTCTCCCACCCAACGCCCAGCCCCAGAGCATTCACCCTCCTCTGAGCCAGCAGAGCAGCGCTCCGGCCCAGCTCAGCCACTCTACGCATGGGACTCCTGCCCTCACAGCCCAGAAAGCAGCACAGGCCGAGATGCAGTCCAGGTGAGGCTCGCTGACACGTTAAAACAAACTGTGGAAATTGGAAATATAAGAAATGTAACCTTGAAACCAGGTGAATGGGTTTATGTCTTCACTTTCTTGCTGTTTCTGCTCTTCTAATCCATCATTTTGTCACCGCTGTCCTCCTGTTCACGCCTGCTGTCATTTATAACTGTAAACCTGACCTCTCTGTCTCTGTCCTCTTCCATATCTCTCCTCTCTTCTTCTCCTCTAGGGATGGGTCTCAGAGTAAACTGCTCAAGTTTTCCCTTGGTCAGAAAAAGACCTCTAGGTCAGCTTCCTCTGCCTTTCTGTTTTCTTGCACCTCCCTCTCTTTCCTCCAGCACACTTCCTGTCCTGTCCCTTTCCTGGAAAAAGGAAGGTAGAAATTGCCCCTAATCAAGTATAACTTCTCTTTTGTACCGTAATGGGTTTCATGTTGTTTCTTTGTCTGTGATTAAGGGCAATATCTACTACAAGCACTATCTAATATGCATGAGTGGTAGTGTTGAGCAGATAGGAACTAAAGCCCTGGGCTCCATTTTCGGACAGGCCTGTCTGTCTGGCAGCACGCCTCATTTGGCAGGCCTGCTAAATGGGCTGTGAAAGACCTTTAGATAACCCTTAAGTAAGTGTGTGTGTGTGTGTGTGGGTTTGCTTGCTTGACAAGCACATCCCCCATATAATGTGACATTAATAATTAACACAGAAAGAATCTGTGGCTGGAATGTGCGTCTATAATATGTGTTGTTAAAACGTAGCTTCCGTCTGCGTTCACTGTGATGCTCTCGAGTCCTTCTGCGTTCACATTTGCCTCTCTTTCAGCATGCAGTGTCGTATTATGTGATGATGCGCCTTGAAATTGGATTTAGGATGCGGTTTTGCATGCTGCCCATCCCAGATTCTGTTTGCATTGCACCTGCCCCGCCACTAGCTCCTCTCCAAAGCAATGTAAGGGCTCCACCCTCTGGTCAGTTTGTGTAACTACAAGAGTGAGAGATTCTCCAGGTGTTCACCCAAAAAACACTTGGCTTTTATGTTCTCTGCTAAAGGCCCCAATCAAAAAAGTATACAGATTTCCTCATTTTTTAAAGGTTTTTAAAGAGTTTATGTAAATTGCTATTATTTGCAAATATTGCAATTAAAAGACCTGTTTTATTCGTCTATGATCTAGGTTGGGATTCAAAATAATGCCAGTGCTCTTTTCACACACAGAGAGGCTGCAAATCAGCATTTTCCCCCTCAAAAATGTACAAATAATCAAATCTAAATGCTTTAAATAAGTAAATCTGCCACCATTTCTGCTATTATGTGCACTGGAATTGAGCTCATATGATAATCACTTACACATCAGTATAAATCAGTCATATGCTGGTCAAAGACAGACAATGTGAAAGAATCAAAATGAAGGGCTTGCAGCACACATACAACCCAGCTTCAGACCAAATTCAAGCTTCTTGGTATTTATATAAACATTTACTAAAAACTCATGAGCGAGTGAGCCTGAAGAAGCAAAAGTAAAATGTTCTCTTGCTCTCCTTTTACTCCTTTGCAATACATTTTTTAAATATATGCTATGCAGGATTTTCCCTAAAAATGTGACCCACTAGTGTGCGGAAGTGTATTTTTCTGCAGAGACTCGGCCTTTGCCTGCATTTTCTTATTTTCTGTGTTCAACACGTTCATGAGCGTGTACCCCACAGCGCTCTGGTGAAGTTGGGGCTTTATAAAAAGGTAGTGACCAGGTGCCAGACCATAAGCATCATGCATCCAAGAGACACAGCACTGAAGAATGCAAATATAGCCTGGCAACGCCAAATGAGTGAATCTAGAGTTGGCTTTTACTTTCACTCTTGCTGGCAAGCGTGTTTGCAAACCGTAATAGCCAAACCTGCACAGTATACGATTTATAAATACCTAGAAGTTTTGAGTTGGTCAAGAGATATGTTTAAAGTTCTGTAAGACTTAGTGCTTTATGTATTTTAAGCAAAAAGTATTCGGCAAAAACATTTTTTTTCTTTTGTATTTTTGCCTGTATTTGACTTTTGAGATTATAAAGTGACAGGTTAACGTGTAAAGATATGTCCATGTTAGTTCTGACACGTTGTATTTTAAAATACAATTGTTTTCACCCATTAACTCGAATATTTCCTCTATACACAGCCAGTCCAAAGGGGGAGGGCAGTAGACTGACTGGTCCTGCCATAATTGAGAGCCAGATGATGTAAGGCCACTCTTGACCAAATGATGTGGTGAGACCTATTACCTTGCAGTGGCCAGATAAATAATGGCCAGTCAAAGTAAATGGCATGCCGGAAATGAGAGTTTCCATAATGTATACAAGAGCTGTGAGACAGAGAGCTGTAATCTGCTTATCAGCACCCGCCTCACAGTCCCAGGATGATGATGATGATGTCGCCTCCTGTGAATTAGCATTTCATTAGCAGTCTGCGTGCCACAGCCTGGTCAGATTACAGCTCGGCTCACACACCTCACTGAAGGCGACATATCGACTCGCAATATGGAATCAAGGTGTTGTAAATTTCACCAAGGCTTATCAGTGGCTAATATATCCTGTCTAATCCATGAGGGGAAATAAAGGAGCAGGGTGTGTAATCTGAGGCTGCTGAGCTGACAGTTCCCCTGGGACCTACACGCTGTCAGGCCGTCCGACGCACTCAGATACTTCCACACTGCTGTGTGAGCTCATCCGTCTCCATTACATTACTGTAGGTGTATATAGGGAGGTGGGGCCAAGCAGAGCTGCAAAGAAAGCGAACGATAGCTGCGTTTACATTTACTAAATTGTGTTATGTTTAGATCCAAGCCACGGACTTTCAGATTGAAGATGAGCCAGTTGTAGGCATGTACTGTATCTTGGAAACTTTCAAAAGAGCCTAAAACAGTAGACAGCATACAGAAAGGCGGCAGCAGGATGACTGAGTGCCTAGTTAAGTCATCGATTTGAGGTTGGCTCGACCTTGCAGCCCAGCAAGAGTGTGAGAGGAGAACTTTTCCCCAAGGAAATCAATAAAGTAGGACAAAAAAGTTTGTATCATGAATTCAGTACATCAGCTTCCTCGGGCATCAACTGAGTTCACAAGCTGCATATTCACAGTGTGGAAAACAAAGTCAGAGTGATGCTTGTGTGGGACGATTAAAAATATTCATCACTTTGGGAGGCTACTCATAACCTTTAAACAGATCTTGAATAGCAATAGCTTTATGTGTATAGCACTTAAAGCTATTTCTCTTTTTGACGTTCTGTAACACAGAAAGGGAATTCTTTATTAGCAGTCCTGAAATGTGATGTTGAAGAAGTTGTAGCTTAATGCTGTACCTTTTGATTGGTTTGCTATGTAGGGACACCCTTGTGCTGCTCTGCCCTGTTCACATAAAACACTGCATGGTCCTTCTACTCTCAGTTCTAATGAAGTGAACCCCTTTTCTTTAAATTTAGAAGCTGTAGACTGGATTTGTCCCAACAGAATGTGCTAGAAACGTGCAGTAACCCAATGTGTTCCCTCAGCGTGTGTGATGAAGGCTTTATATCGAACATATTCTTTCTTCCTTCCTTTCTCTTTGTCGCTTCTCTCTTTCTCTCTCCATCAGACTTCCCGGCCCCTCGGCGAGGGTGTCCACTGCCGGCAGTGACATCCCTCCAAGAGGCTCTGCGGTCAGTGCTGCTGGGAACAGACGCAGCCAGGGCTTCAGTGACAAGACCAAAGCCAACTTGAACCTGAACAAAGGTAAGGCTCATGTGCAACCACACACAGACACAAACACACTTAGTTTTGCCATGGATGGCTATAAATACCATCATGATAACTGTAACCTTGAGATGGCCTCAACAAATTGTGAGTCTGTGTGTGTGAGAGAGAGTGAGACACATTAGAAAGGAGACCGTAACCTTGCAGCTCTTAAAAATGTTAATGTTGCAGTGTTGAGGACAAATTTAAGGTGGACTGTGAATCCTCTGGGTGCCAGTTAAAAACACGAGTTTGCTCTGTTGCTTTGAGACCAGGAGAAAGTGTTAAATACATGCTAGAAAAAGATGCATGGCCCCTCAGCGTGTACTGTAATGCTGCACTGAAACAACTGTGTCCTTTCAAGAGAAAATTCCCCCTTTTAATGTTTCAGTTAACTCGGAACATTAATATTTCACGTTATGAGGGTAGAGCATTTATCCTCAGTTTCTGTAACAAACATTCGGTTGTTGGATGCTGATGTAAATGTATTCTCTGACTGCAGCCTCAGTGACTGGTCTGAACAGTGTGCGTGAGGAAAAACCTGTGTGTGGTTACTTTTAAGGACATTGTGTGTGAGTGTAGGAGGTGACAAGCTGTGATTTATTGGAGTTGCAGTGTTATAGTGACCTCCATTTGGCTGCTGTGTTCGTCCTCACAGGTTGAGAGGGTTACGGTCAGTGTGGCCTGCTCGGATCTGAACCACTTAGGGCATTTATGGCTGTGTGTTTGAATAAAGGAGAGCATCAGTCCGCTGTCATTAGAAACTGAAAACTTCTGCTGTGTTTAGTCTGGAAGAACAGTGCCCTCCTCCTGTTTGGTGAAGTCAAACCACCCAGCAGAATTGTCTTTAGGAGCTCTACTAAATTGGAACCATTTCAACTTTGTTTTTGAGAACTTGTGTTTCTGTCAGTTTGGTATTATACTACAACACCCAGTAGGCTTGTGCATTTGACTTTCAGTAACTTAAACAGATATAGAAAAATATGTTTTCTAAAACAGTTGTTCATCTTTTGTCCTGATGATTCAACCGGGAGAGTTTTGTTTTCAGTAGGAGGCGGAAATGTTCTCTCACACGTTTATTCCAAACTTCTCTGACCCAGTTTAACTCGCACTGCCCAGTGTTTTGAGTTCTGCAGCATACAAACTTGCAAGTGTGTTTGGCAGTATATTTAGTGAGAGCAGTGTTGAAATAGCTTCTGTCACAACTCAGTGGGCCAAGGCTTTATATAGACTGTCAGTGTTCACAGTCTAAACTCATTACCCTGCATTACACAGAGAATTCTGACCGCCCAGAGAGAAAGAGAGGTGTGTGTGTGTGTGTGTGTGTGTGTGTGTGTGTGTGTGTGTGTGTGTTAGTGAGTGAGAGAGAGAGAGTGAGACAGACAGAGAGAGAGAGAGAGAGAGTCTGTTGTCTGTGTTTAAAGTGACAAATTAACAGGGACCAACACTCTGAGCATCACTGTGGGACACTTATTCTGATGTGCAGCTCCATTGGAGATGGGAGAGTTTCTAGCAGACAGTGTTGTGTTCATGGACAGGTATATAAGAAATTTGCAAGGGTCAGTATCAAAGGAATAGTCCAACATTTCGGATATATGTTTTCTGTCTGTGTGCTCTTCACAATTGGATAAACTTGGCATGAATGCTAGAAACAAGTTCTATCTTGTTTGTTTAATCCACGCAAAAAACTGAAGTGTAAATACAGCAAGTCGTGATTTTAAAGAGTGTGTGTGCGGGACTATTTCTTGGCCTGGCCAGCAATGACCACCTGGAGTCTGTCACCATGAGGTTGCCAGGCTGCTTCGTGCCAAGCTAAGCTAGCTGGCTGTCAGCTTTAGCTTTATATTTATAGTCCAGACATGAGAGGGGAGTGATCTAAACCTGGGGTGAAATCGAACACACGAATTTCCCAAAAAGTTGAACTGCTCCGTTGATATTAAAAATCGTAGTATTTGTAGAAGTAGTAGTAGTAGCATTAATGTTAGAGATGTGATTGACCAATTAGTGAGCAAGGTTTCTCTAAGAAAGGACCAAAGCTCATTTACAAATCAATTTTGTTAAAAAAAAAAAAAAAAAAAACGGTTTGCATAACACGTTAATTTACCTTATCCTGGCAAACAGGTGTGCATGTATGTTTTGGAGCAGCAGACCATGTGATTGGAGGTAGGAAGTATGAAAATCACTTGTCAACCCCCCTCCTTCTTACTGTGTTGTTGACATGCTGCCAAGCCCCTCCCCTCTGCCATACCACCACACTCCTCCTCCTCCTCCTCCTCCTCCTGCTCCTGCACTCTCTGGATGTCTGGCCATGGTTTGGGACTCTCCCATCTCCTCCTGTCCTTTTCTTCTGTCTCTGTTCCTCCTGGACATCTGCAGCACCTATGAGGTTTGTCAGCTTGCACTTGTAGATTGCCTTGAGCTAGGACTGCAGGTTATAGTCTCTGATGTAGAACTTGAGGTTTGCATTTGAACTTATAAAGTATGGTAGAGGATTGATTCAGTTTTAGAGGTTTGTTGTTGTTGCTGCTAAGCTGCAGAAAGCAGGTTTGTTTTTCTGTGAGCGGATGTCAGATCAGCTGCCCTGAACCTTTTAGTGAATAATTTGATTTGTTAGTAGTGAGGTTGCAGGGATATTGGTCATGTAATTAGCCAACTTCTTGCTTCATTAGTGTAAAACTGACACTGATTTAGAATTTATTTCACCTTTCCAAAGTGTCATTAAAAGTCTGACAGTGTGATCAGTCTGATATGTCAGTTTAGTGTTTGCCTTAAAAGAACATGGTGGGACACAGTATGTTATATGTGCTTGTTGTGAGGTTCAGATGGTTAGAGAGGCACCTGCAGCTTCTATTGTGAGGCCAGATCTGCTCTGTGTCATTGGCTCTGACACCAGAATGGAGTCACATTACCACACCGCTGTACAGTACAGAGACAGACCTTAATCTTCTCCTCTGCTCTGCATTAACATAAGGCGACAGCGTCTGGGTGTCCACCAAGTGACACAGAGCAGAGACACACACAGAGAGCAGGGGGCACCTGTGGTGGCTCTGTGTTTGTGTATGTGCATGCTTCTGTCGCTCATGTATTTCTGTGTGTGTATGTGTGTGTATGGCTGGGTCCCTTGCTGAATGAATAGCCTTCTGATGAGCTGTAGCGTCACTGTTTGAGTGTATTCATGTGGAGAAACTTTAAAAAGTTTCAGTCTCCACACAAAAGCCGGCTGTCCCGCTCACTTTTGGGAGCACAATGACTGAGGAGGGAGAGAGAGCGAGAGAGCGCAGGCTTCTGAAATCAGAACGTGATGAGTAAGCAAACACCTGCAGCCTCAAACTTTGTGCCAGTCAGATATGATTTGTGTAGATTTTGCAAATTAAAAGTCCATGGAGGTGTCAGAAAATGAAATAAAACTGCCCTCACAGTGCTCTCTCTGTGAGAAATCTTCTCTGCACCTTGGGTTTACAATCAAATAACACGTTTTCAGTCTTGCATGTGAGCAGGGCATTTTCAGGTCAGCAATTTGGTCGTTGACGGACTGAGAAGGTTCAGCTTAATGTCTTGTGACCAGTGTGAACATGAGAGAGGTTGGAGGGCTTGTGATGTCTAAACAGTGTCAGCCCACGCTACCTCTAATGCGTTTACCGCTTGTTTTTTTGTGGGCAAGAAATGGTCACACTGCCGTATGTTCGCTCCGGTCACCGGTCCTGCTGTTTGAAGCTTTTGAAGTTGCTGAGCAGAAAAAAACATCCCCCTCTCTTCTAAACTTGACATGCATGCACAGACATGTACACACACTCGCACGGAGATGAGCGTTGACACTTGTGTGAAATTACATGGTTTTCCTCGGCTGTAGAGGGGCATTAATACAAAGGAGCGCACGCACAGACACATGAGTGTGACCATCCATGAAAAGAGCTTTGGGTCCACTTTGGCTGATTTCCTTAAATGCCTTGATGTTATCATGAAGGCTTTGAGAGGACTAGGCAGCTGGGCCAACCCTGAGACAGAGTCAGAGAGAGTGAGACAGTTTTTTATGGCAGACAGGGAGCGGAGTGGTGGTCTGTGAGTCTTTTCGCCTCGGGTACTCCTATACCTACTGTCATGTTCTGCTCTTGATTTTATTCTCCAATGACTGCCATAATTAAGCAGTTAACTCATAAACACTGAAATTCTTTCAACATGTTTCCCCCAGCAGTTTAAGTCCAGGATCTGGCCCAAGGCTGCACAGGGTGGGTCATTAGGTCAGTGACCCATTCTCTGGGCATGTTAAGACTCTTCTGTGTTTATTTTTGAAGGAAAATTGCTTCCGCAAGTGCATTTTGTGCAGATAATTTAAAGCTGGTTTCTTAAATGCGGCCAGAGTAAAGCCAGATTGATCCATAGAGACCTGTCTACCAGGTCTGTATCCATTTGATTGTAGTTGTTGTTTTACAGTGTGAGGCTGTGTTTTTTATTTTATCTTAAAATATTCAGGCGGCTGTGCCTAAAATGAAGACTCACGCAGCATTTTCCCCTCCAAAATGAAATCTACCCCACCTTGTGGTTGCTTTGTTAATTGTAAGAAAAAGTAGCAGGTTGAATTTTAAACCAGAGGAAAACACTTGACTCTGACTTTGGCATTTCCTTAATTTGTGATGGACTGAGGTGTTGAACCTTGTCTGGAATCCTTGGCTGGGTTTATGATGCAACAGTGTCCAAGTCCATCACTCTCGTGTCACTTCTGACCCGACACGTTGAAGATTGACCACCTTCCTTCACCCTTAGCAACCCAACTGGAGCGTGTCAGTCCCGGTCAGCGGGTCCAGTCATGACAATGACCAGCTGTACCCAGTGTCCAGGGCCTCTCCATGTCCTGCCTTTCCTCTTCTGTTCCTTCCTGACCCGAAATCCAAACTGACCCCATTCACGGACAGCACAGGCCGTCCTGCTGGCCCACATCAAAGCTTCACTCATCCCAAACCTGCAGTGCCAGTCCCCCGTATTCTCTCAGCCTGTTCCATAATCACAGCAGGTCCCCCTCTCATTCAGCCGCCTCCAATGGGACTCCAGCTATTAGCAACCTGACCCACTTTCCCGATTGCTAACTGCTAGCACGGCTAATTGGTCTCTAATCAGTTCCTAATGGCTGCATTGTTTCAGGCTGCTCTCACTAAATGCTAAACAGGGGGAGAAAGGAGAGGCGGCGAGCGGGTGCCTATTTCCAATTAGGACATGAAAGGTGCTGAAAAAATGAAACAAAGTTGAGAGCCAGATGACAGAGGGGTAAACAAGTGGGTTGAGTGTTTAATATTCTGTGTAAATGCTGACTTAATGAGACCACATAAATAACATATGAATATGGAAGTAATGTGGCTAACGTGAATTAAAGGAATATTCACACATTAACGAATAAGCACTGTGAAAGTCATATGATTATTTTCTATCGGAAATATCACCATAAGTATTTTGAATGAATAGTTCAGCACTAAGTCTTATTTTGTTAAACAAAGAAAAGTTTAAAATCCAGTGGCGTAATGTAAAAAAATAAAAAATCCCCAATAAAAATCAACTTGGTTTTAAAATGTTCGAAAGTCATCATGGTCATCATCTGTCCCTTCTTCAAATCCTTGTATTTGGAAAAAAGGTTTAAAAACCAAAAAAACAAAAACAAAAATGCACACTATCAATCACTTGTCACTTTGTCCTTAAAATGTCTTAAATTCAATTTTATAAAAATCAGGCCTTAAAAGTCATTCAGTAGTTTTAAATTTGATTTTCTGAGGTCTTAGTTGCAACAAACATTTTATGTATCCACCTTTTGATTTATTTTTATTTTTCATTGTATTTATTCTATTTTTTTCTATTATTTTGTTCATTTTTTACTTTTATTTTTATTTTATTTTATTATATTTTTGGCTCAAAATGAGCCAAGCTCATCTGCATGATAGTCCCCATTTCTGATGCTACAAATCTTTAAATCTAACACTTACTAACACTGTACTTCATACTTGCACCTGTTGGCAAAATGTAGATTAACCTGACACTCTAATAACCACATCCCTACATAAAACCTACCTCTGCATGGGACCACATATATGTATATGTATGTATATATATATATATATATATATATATATATATATATATGTGTGTGTGTGTGTGTGTATATATATATATATATATATATATATATATGTACCTTTATACTCATCTGCAATGCTTTTAATAACAAAAGATGATTTGTCTTAAAATTGCTTTATAATGATCTTTGAAAGATCTTATAAAGCTTTAAATCTAAGTGTCTGATACCTATTGACACCCTGCTTGTACTTACTTGTTTCAGTCCTCAGATGTTCATCAGGTAAAATTCATACAAACAGCACCAGGGCCTTCGACAAATAGTAAAAAAACATATTGGAAAATGCGTCTTGCCACTTAAATTTAGAAACAAGACTCTATGGACTCTATAACTAACAAGAATTACTTAATATGATTTAGAGTTGTGGGGATATTGCTCAATTAATAAGCCAATCTTGCTACTTTGGTGTGAATTTGCAGTGTATTAAGAACCTAAACTCCCATAGGTCTAAGGTGTGCAACACAGCAGCAGCAGGGGCTTAGAATAAATATGAGTCAGTGTGTGTATGTGTGTCAGGTATGTTGCAACAGAACTGTTATGATTAATTCCTCCCAGTGCTCCCTGCACAGGCCCTCACTCTCAGCGGCCGTTGGAGTTTGAATATTCAAATGTTACTGGTCTGAACTGTGTGCTGCTGGTAGCACCCCTCTGCACACACTGACAACCCCAGCAGCTCTCAGGATACTCTAGTTCACTCTAGTTCTCACAGTAAGAACAGTGACTTGACGCCAGGGATTTCAGCTCTTTGCTTGCTCCTTCAGTTTTTGGTAAGTGTTCTTGTTGAGATGCTGTTGAGTCACTTGTTGCAGATTTAACCCAGACAGTTTGTTTTTGGGTGATAAATCTGTGACAATGGTTTACAGGAGCATGTTTCCATGACAAAAAAGGCTTTCTGTTCTGTTAAAGTTAAACTGTGTTTTTTATCCCATTTATAAATCTAATTTACAAGAGGCTGAGTACATGTAACCAGATGTAACCAGACAGTGTTTCTTTGTAAAGCACAGGGACGCTGACCAAAAGCAGCCCTTATAAGTACAAGCCTTATAAGTGCTGCAGCACTGCTTCTTGACTTGGCCTGCTTGGCAAGACTTTAAAGCACTTGAGTCTGCGCCTCATTGTTTTTATACAAAGTTTGTGATGGGCTCCTCTCATTGTTAGTGCTAAGGGGTTTTTAACAGTTTTGGTGGCCAGCCTGATGGAAAGTAATGGCACGTTGGGCTGTATCAACACAGGCCACCTCCAGGCCCTTATAAGGCCACTTTGTGTGGGGTCAAAGATGACTTAGCATCTGGTTTCTCTTCTCTCCCCCAGATCCTCCCTGTGCTTGACTTCTCCTCCTCAGCTGTACCTTCCTATCTCATTGTTTAATAAAATGTCTCTTTTCTGGTGCAGATTCCTCAGAGGGCATGACCTCACAGCCTTCAGTGATGACTGAGCATGCTCCGTCATCTGCAGTGACTGTCAGCTCCTCCACCAGCATCCCCGCTGCTACCTCCGCTCAGATTCCTCCCCCATCGTCATCATCTTCATCCTCTTCCACAGCCATTCCCCAGCCCAACAGCAAGCCCTGGAGGAGCAAGTCGATGAGCTCCAAGCACATCTCTCCTGCTCCCTCCTCCACCAGCACCCCCGCGTCTGCCATGCAGCCCGTCAAGCAGGAGAAGGACGCGTCCTGTAAGGCTGCCCCGGCAACTGAAGCTCCCCCTAAGGTTGTCGCTCAGAAGTCAATGCTAGAGAAGCTTAAGCTCTTCAACAGTAAAGGAGGCTCCAAATCTTCCACCTCCTCCAATGGAGCAGGGGCTCAGACTGACAATGCTGCCCCAGCAAGGCAGCCCGGAGCAGTGCAGGTGGAGAGAGCCGAGACTGGCTCCAACACCGACCCCATGGAGGAAGATGATGGCAATGTCCGTCCAGGAATGAATGGCACCAGCAACGGGACGGCCTACGGAGCAGCTCCCTCAGCAGGTACTACTGTGTCCACAACCGCCAGCAGCCCCAAAATCGCCCTGAGGGGCATCGCCCAGCGCACTTTCAGCAGAGCTTTGACTGCCAAGAAGGGCTCTGTCAAAAGCACAGAGAAATACAAGGAGAAGGAGAGAGGGAAGGAGAAGGAGAAGGAGAAAGGGAAGGAGGTGGGGAAACGCATCTCAGTCTCCGACAGGACAGAGCTCAGGGGTGAGGAGCTTAAGGAGGAAGTAGCACCTGTTGTAGACACAGACAGCTCAAACAAAAGGACCTCTAAAATCACCAGCTTCATTCCCAAGGGGGGTAAAGTGGCCAAAAAGGAGAGTTCCACCCCTGCACAAAGCGGAATACCAAAGCCAGGAGGCAAAGCCCCGGGAGTCGGGGGGAAAGCTTCCTCAGTGAAGGAGGCGGGGGAGAGGCCTCGGAGCATGCGGTTAGGAGGGGGGCTCGCCATGCACCGCGGACCCCTGGACAGAGACAGGGACAGCAGGCACTCCAGCTCCACCTCCAGCCTGGCCTCCACAGAGGGAAAGACCAGCGCCTCCCCTGTGGCAGGTGGAGGCACTACACAGAGCACAGCCAGCAACACCATCAGCGTGCAGCTACCTCAGACTCAACAGCACCACAGCCACCCCAACACGGCCACCGTCGCACCTTTCATGTACAGGTGAGACCACACAGACTGAGCCTGGGAACACATGTTAAAGCAATGGAAAAAATGGTTTTCTCTTTAGTATTTCTCCATCACATGAAACATTTATAACAACATGAGTAACAATCAAAGATACAGTCATGAATAAAGGCATCATTTATTATTTGAATAAGGATTTAAAGGAGCAGTGTGACGAATTTAGGGGGATCCATTGGCAGAAAGTAATTGCTGTATTCTTGTCAGCTGAGAATGAGCCCTTCATACCTACATAGGCAGCAGATTCCACAGAGTCCGCCATGTTGCACTACTATGTTTCTACAGTTTCCTGTGGGGTGAGGGCGAGGGTATTTAGGTGGTTGCAGTCTGCAACCTCACCAGCAGATGCCACTAAATCCTACACACTGCTTCTGTAAGACTTCAGTTACCACAGTCTGCTTTATCAGGACTGTGTGGGTGATTTTAATCTCAGATTCAACTTAAATTTCAACTCCATAGATCACAGAGACACACCATTGACAGTAATAATTGACAATCCATAGTTTATGTGACAGATATTAATTTGAAACAAAAGAAAAACATGCAAACACTTGAATCAACAAAAAATAGAGACACTTTTATTGCAACGTCTTGAAAAAAAAAAAAGGAAGATTAAAGGGGAACATCACCTAAAGTAAGAATTCCAATATGTTATTTCCATGACCGAGAAAAGTTCAGTCAACATTTGTGAACATGAGCTACTCTCTCTCTCAAAGTCAGAAACCACAGAAGGAAGTCTCAAACTTGGGATGTCATGCTAGATGATATTTTTGGACTGTCTTAGACCACGGGAATAACATATAAATTCTGAAAATGGGCGTAGTTCCCCTTTAAGATCCAGACCAAATATAGAAAAGCAAATAAAATGCAGTACAGAATAAGATAAAGCACAGGCGTTCATGTCTCTGTATTAATAGATAATATTTCTGTATTGGGTCTGCTGCATTGATTTTTTTTTTTTTTTTTTAAAGATATTTTTTGGGCGTTTTAGCCTTTAATTGATAGGACAGTTTAAGCGTGAAAGGGGGAGAGAGACAGGGAAGGACATGCAGCAGAGGGCCACAGGCTGGAGTTGAACCCAAGCCGCTGCGGCAACAGCCTTGTACATGGGGCGCCTGCTCTACTACTAAGCCACCGACACCCCTGCTGCATTGATTTTAATACTTTTTGAAAACTGTCCATTGTGAGTCAGATTGTGTTCCCAGAGTGCAATGCTAAATCCGAAGAATAAATTTAGCTCATGTGTCATAAAACACTGATAAAACAAAGTCATTAAACCATTGCACACTCTATTCCGACTATAAGTCATAAACATACACACAGCACATTTTCCTGGTATGGCTGAATTCTTCAGTGACGACTATTTGAAGTTGGCAAATATTTGCCGGAGTGTATTTGTTCAGTCGTATACCTGATAACAGTTCTGAGTGAGCTGTTCTTGACCAAATAACTACACAAAGGTGTATAAACTTCTGGCTAGGACTGTACAAGTCAAAGCTTGTGAGATCTCTCAAGTCATCTCATATCTGATGTTTGATTCTCTTACAGCATCTTAAAGCACAAAATCTAAATCTAGCCATCTGCGAACTGTTACCCAGGAATGTCACATCTGTGTTTGTTCATGTGTGCATACGCAGAGTGTTTTGTCAGCATGTGTGTGCACATGTATCTGGGCAAGTATGTGCGGATGTTGTGTGCCTCTGACCTCTGTCCCGGTCCCAGTGTGATAAGGAAGGAGGTCCCTCTCGTTCTCCACTCATTAGGCCCCTGACACTTCCTGCACCGCTGCCCTTTCTCTCTGTACATCCTGACCTGTAACTAACCAACCCACATCTCCAAAACACTCCCATCCTCAGTGCTCAGAAATGTTCTGTTTTTGCTGTATACCTGTCAGGTAGCATTACCAGCAGGATTATATCACCTCCACCTGTCAGGAAGGGTATGTTGGACAGAAAATGAAAGAAAAAACAAACGTAAATTCAATGTTCATATTGCCGTTTCTCTCACCTGCTAAGGACTCATAAACTAAAAATAAAGCACCCTGTCATGAACAATAGGCCTAGTCCACACGTATACAGGTATTTTGTAGTCTTTTCTATGTGTTTTAGCCTTTCATCCAAGCGCAAACTGGGTTTTAGGTCCTGAACTTTTTGTAAAACTCTATCCAGATCATAGATTTTCAGAAACTGAGTTCCCAGTGTTGACATGTAGACAGGAAAAATCGAGTTTAGGGCTTGTATCACCTGTTATCTCCTTTGTGAGGCATCAGAAATGAGGCAACATTTTGTGCAAAGGCAGATGTTGCCAAAATAGTGCTGGTTCTAACCTAGCTAACAGGGCTTTTAAAAATTTACACATAAATGTACAGTTACTCTTCCACTATATTGAGAAACAGGAGCGTCAAAATGTGCTACAGAAATCTGTGCTACATAATCCATCAATGACACAACACAGATCTTTTCAGGCTTCTAATTGGCGGACATGGCCTTAGGGTTTGGGTTATATCACCCCCTCTTGGTCTGGCATGTTTTTGACAGTGCTTCTAGTGTGTTTTACGTTTTCATTTAGACAGAGGTTTTTTTTAAAAACAGCATTTATAAAGACATTTTTTGAAAATGAAGGAGGAAAAACCCTGTTTTCAAAAGTATCCGTATACGTGTGGACTAGGCCATAGATCTTATCCAGTAAGTTTGTTAGTGCATGAACACAACCTGAAATTTCAACCAACATTAGGTAATTTAACCAGATGGTAAAGAAAAGTTTACATGCTGTCACTTTTTTGTGGAGCAGTGTGGGAGGCAGTAAGAGCTTTTGATTGGCTCTCACACTCAGAGAGAGTGTACAGTAGTCAACAGGGACAAAGTCTGGGATCAGGCAAAGACCAAAGGCTGTATATAACTGAGGCATTCAAACTTCATCGTCTCAAAAAGCCCCAGCCAGTGCAGCGGGTGAACTGTATTGATTTATCCTTCAAAGACAACCTTTTTTTTTACCGGCATTTGGGGCTTAGCAGCCACTCATTTTGGATTCCGGTCACAAGACTTGAAACACAGCAGATTTAATTCTTAATCAGGTTTATCCCTCTTTCGTGACAATTTGCTGAATATTAGGTTCCCACTAAATGCACAATAATTCAGAATCGATGATATCTGCCCCCTTTGATCCCTCAAATTATTTGTTTTCCCAGATCCCAAACAGACGGCGAGGGAACGGGGAACACTGAGTCCGGCTCAGGAGGAAGAGGTGGAGACGTTTCCTTCACTAAGACCAGCCAGCTCTCCATCGAGGACCTTTCAGGTGGGTGATCACTGACAGTGAAGAGTCTGTCTTTGCTCAGTTTATTTTGCTGGTAAATATATCTGAGACTGCTTCTTTTTGTCTCAGGTGAAGACCCAGAGACAAGGCGGTTGCGTACCGTCAAAAACATAGCAGACCTCCGGCAAAACCTGGAGGAGACCATGTCGAGCTTGCGAGGAACTCAGGTCACACACAGGTAAAAATGATTTGTTGATGTTGCTGATTTTAACTGGCAGTGACTTGTGATTCAGCGCTGAGGCAACCTTCTCTGTGTTTGAGGAACGTTTGGAGCCATTAGTAATTTAACAAGCTTGTTGTTTACCTTTTTTACTTCTTTATTATTTCAAAAGTTCAGTTACATATTGTGATTCTTTGAATTTTCTGTCCCAAAGTGCATGTGCAACATGTGCAGTAGGTGACAAAAGAAATGCAGTATGTTGGAACTTTTTCCAAGAACAATTACAGGCACAAGCCATACTGTTCAATGCATGTCTTTCAAGTTGGCAAAGCTACTATAAAAGGACACACTAAGAAAAATAAACTTAAAAGTGATTGGTGATTAATCAAGTGAGGTAAATATGAAAGTAATTTTCTGTTCACCCTGTCAATTCAGCCCTGCTCATTAAGTAGTTTCTAGTGTGTTTCCTGTGGAGAACAAAACTCCACTGTGTGGGGATCATCAAAGTGAAGCACCTTACAATGGCCGCTCCGGCTGAGTGGTAAACAGGCCAAATCAGGATAACTGCTGGGGATTTGAGTCAGTGACTGAACTGCCTCATGGTCAGCAGACTATGTCTGTCTAGGTTTACAGGTATTACCTCCTTTTTCTCCTCGCTGCCGTTTCATCCTTCTTTTGAGGGATCTTTTGCTTTGATCGCAGGGCATGTCTTTCATGTCGTCTTTGATTCAGGTTTTGCTCTTATCGCGCTCCCTCCCTCAGAATTTTGACCTCTGCTCTGGCCTCACGTCTCAATGCTGACCCAGCTGTCTCGGTTTAGGTTAGGCTCTGTTGTATGGGTTAAATGTCCTGTTTTGCTGTTTTAGTTTTTTCTTTCTATCCATCTGTCCACAGCTGAGATTATGCAGGCCGCCACTGCTAGTGTGGCAGTTTGTTTGCCTGTACTGTATCTGTTGGTGCACAAGAAACAGATGATCTGGTTGTGGTGGTGATCCAAATATGTGACCTCTCATTGGAGATCATTTTTTTAATCAGTACAATCACTATGAAACGACAGGTAGAAATTAAATTTCAAATCGTTAAGCCATCTGTTGCAGTAGTAGCTCAGAAATTCATTGAGAGGTTTTCGTTCTTCAAGTGCAAATAAAAAGACTTTGATTAGAATCTGATCAGAAAACATTAAAAAAAATAGATTTAAAGGGGCGTCCTGTTTGTTTACATGTGGATCACATTGTCTTTATTCTTTCTTCTCTCTTCTGCTCAGCACCTTGGAAACCACCTTTGACGGCAGCGTCACCACAGACATCAGCAGTGGCGGAGGTGGCAGTGGAGGCAGCAACAACAGCGGAGGGGGTCGGAGCATCCTCAGCATCACTTCCACCCGCCCCTCCCTGGCATCATGGCGGCTGGGCCAGTCCAGCCCTCGTCTGCAGGCGGGCGACGCGCCCTCTATGGGGAACAGTTACGGCGGCCGGGTGGTCGGCAGCCAGGGAGGACGCTACCTGTACCCTGGACATCTGCGGCGGCAGCTGGCTGGCAGGGGAGGAGCTCTCTGCAGCGTGGACCTCGGAGACAGAGCAGGGGAGGACATTGACCTGGAGGGCATCGCCGTGGACGTCACTGGATACATGAGCGATGGAGACGTGCTGAGCAAGAATGCTACACGCACTGATGATGTCGCTAGCGGGTAAGTGAAATGCACTGATGGAGACTTTTTAATCCTACAACAGGTTTGGGAATTGCTAATGCTGAAATTTTTAGATGCGGAATTGGTGAACTGATCTGCAGAAATTTACCTGACAGCAGTTTTGTTCATTTATTTAAGACAAATGCCAAACGTTTGCTGGTGTTCGCTCTTCCAGTGTGAGGGTTCGCTGCTTTTTTCTGTTTTCTAGCATTGTTATTTACACTTTTTGTTTTTTGCTTGATATTTTAGTATGTCCCCTCAGGCTCTGGGAGCTTGTGACAGGCAATTTCCCCTAATTTCAGATTTTATATAATAAACTATTAATTAGACAAAACGAAAATATCAGTAGATATTCTGATATTAAAACAATTTCAGTTGCAGCCCCAGATATTGCCACCTACCATGCAACAAATGCAATGTTTTTGGGGGGTTAAGTGAGAGAGACACTCAGCACACTGGCTGATTATGTTACAAGATAATAACTTTAAATTGTTCTTCTGTAATTTGATCTCCTGTGACTGAGTAAACCAGTTAACACAGTACCTGATTCTGTATTCAGTGTCATTAAAAATCTGCAGACTGATTCACAGTGCTTTAGATTATTGGTAGATGATTGATTTGTTTAGACATCCCTTGGTAGGTGAGCAAGAAACTGTATCTCAGACACTCCCTATACATTTCCTCTACACCTCCGCTAGCACAGCAGTGTACTCATTAACTGGCAGTTATGTCATGAAAAGTATTAATGAGTTACTTTGTGCTATGAGAGCATCATGTGTTGATAGTTAGATATTTCTGTCTGGTTGACCATGTGACCCCACAGACTGTGAGTTGTCTGGAATACAAACTTGCCAGAAGAGGGCGGTAGTGTTCCTTTTCTCATTATTCCTGCCTGTAATCCAAGTGCCAGATGATATCTGACAGTTAAGCCGCAGCAGCATAAGCAACATTTATTATGTGTAGCACAGATCCCACAAGTATCCCATCTCTCAGTCTGCAGCCACAGTACTGCTGATACGCCGATAACCTGTTTATTTGCTCTCTCAAAACCACTGCCCATGTTGTAACAGGCCTTCTGCATACCTTGGCTGTCACACTGTGCAATTTAAACCTCTACTGTCGTCTGTGTTATCAGATGAACTTGTGAAAGGTGCCAACTCGCCTTCACATGGTATCGAAAAGCCAGAGACGTAGAGACCAGGGTCTGGTATTAGAGCTGCTGCAGGAATTTGCTTGAGTTCAAATGAATGCTAGTGTAGAAAAGAGTTTATGAGCTCTGGGAAGCAAAGTGATAAGACATCTCTTAAAAGCTGGAGTAGGAATTACTTCCTCTGACCCCCATGGGTTTGCACTGATTCACCGTCAGCCCTGAAGCAGCTGTACAAGTCGAGGGCGCTAAGTGCTCTTGAAGTACTTGATATGTCTGAATCTGTGTGCAGACAAAGGCCAAGCCACAGCCACACCTGGACAGGTGAGTGATTTGAGCAGGCGAGCACAGCCATTTGCTTGCTCTGAAAACTTGATATCTAGGCTGGGTCGGACTTGTGAGGAAGGCAAGGAAAAATATAGATAATTTCCCTCTGATGATTTTTGGTGATCTGATACTGTTCAGGCTGCAATTATAGACTGTTTGCAGTCATTTGTATTGACTGATTGAATCATTCAGCCTGAAAAAATGCCATCACAGCCATCTAAAACAGACATTGACGGATGACCTCCCCCCACCCTTCTCCACATCCTCAGGGCATTTAGCGGTTAGCTCCATCACAGCCCTGTTAGCATCCACTAACTGGTTCTTCCAAACAGGGGTGGGATGTTTACCCAGAGAGGAGGAGCTGGCATTTATTTTACAGAAGCACACTCTCACAGTCCAACTCCTCTCCTTCACTTAACTGTCAGTGAAAGAGTCAGTTCACACAGAGTTGAAAAGAAACATATTTTTGGTACCCAGCCATGCAGATAGCCCTGGTTTTATTTGTGCAGGCTTTGAGATATCTTTCTCTCTATGTAAGTATATATCATTTATTAAATCAGGTAAAAGTCTCATTGTGTTTAAAAATGTGGTCAAGAGTGACGTGGCCAAGCAGAAAGCTTAAACATCATTACAACAATAAATACAAGCAGACATGTACAACTGTTACACGCCACAAATGAGGAAGCACAACATCCAGTTAAAGTACAGTACAAGAAAACAGTTATAATACATAAACTTGTACAATTTTCTTAAACGATTTCAGTGAAAATTTGATGAGCATTTACATTGAGTGCTATGTTCTCGTTCCTTTAAGGTTAACTTAAATTCCTCATAGTAATCAGCTCCTAAAATGGCAGGTCCTTCTGTATTTTAATTCAGGAAGAGTGTAGGTTTTCACCTCAATACAATGGAGCATTTCTTTTTTTTGAAGCAATGTCTCTGCCCCTCCTGTGATCAGTTTTCATCAGAAGTATTTTTCCCAAAGAAGTAGTCCCCATCAGTCTCTCCGGTGTCCTAATAGAGACAGTTTTTAATGCTTGTAGCATGGCAAATTAAATTCAGTTCACCCTCTGATGGACTTTGAAATTTCAAAAACATACATCAGAACATAACAACAGCGAAAAAACATGGCTTAGTGACACCATAAAATTTATTTTCAACATATCTCACAGTTAGAGAGTTATTTAAGTAAACAGTTATTGGACAGACAGCTGATTACAAATTCTATTAATTGGTTCATTGTGTCTATATCTATAGCTATACTATATTCAGTGCCATGTTCTGTCTTTGGGTTTTGGACTGTTGGTCAGGAAGAACAAGCAATGTCAAGACGTCACGTTCAACTCTTAGAAATGTTGCCAATTTCTTTAATGTTTTTTATTTATTTTACCAACGAAATTATTAATTAAAAATTGAGAGCTGACTTGATAATAAAAACAATCATTAGTTGCAGCTCTAGACTTTTAAAAGCCATCTTAAATGCAGACCAAGATCAAGTCAGCCTCTATTTGTTTTTCATCCATGAGTCCAACAACAGACAACATGACTGATGACACCACATTTAGTATCTGCATTGTTTTTCTCAAATCTCCACCCCCCTCCTTTATTTTTCCTCGCCACTTCTCTGGCCCTTAGAGACATGAACACCCACCCCACCCCCCCCCACCCCCCACCTCCTCTGCTCGGGGGTATGTTTCCCGATCTACCCTGCTGCCCTCCCCCTTCCCTCCCTTCCTCCCACCTTTCGCAGACAGACCCAACCTCCAGCCAAGAGGGTAAAGCATGTGGAGCTGAGGAGAGCGGCTGCATACCAACACTGAGCTCCCACAGACTAACACACACACACACAGTCAGGCTGCACATGGACACATAATCTTTACACGGAGAGTTCACTGAGACTGCTCACTCACTTCTGATATCATCATGATCAAACACGCTCTCACCTGGTGATATTACTCACGTAGCAGCAGATTACGCACACAGCTTCAGACCTGATAACAGACAGTAGCCAGACGGTTGAAAACGAACACCTTTGCTTTGGAGATTGTTATCAACACGGATCAACCTACACCTGGACTTGTTTATTTTGCTTTGGACTAACTGTGTTACCATGTATGAGGCAGAAAGGTACGTCACAGTGTTTCAGACTATCTAGACAAATATCCAAAGCTGCAGAGGGGATTGTTTGTATTTTTTCCCAGAGCGTGACATTTTGTGAATTTCCTCCTGTCAGTAGCACACAGCGTGCAGTCTTAGTACGTCAAATATTTCTGCAGTTTCATTTACTCAAGAACTTTTGCTTCTTTCAGTTGCATGGCTGTGTAAACTGCACCTGGCTGCTTGGTTTCAGCCTGTAAACTGTCTTGTTTGGACACGTTTCTGCTGCCTCAGAAGGTTACAGGTTAACAAGCATCTGAAACAGGATGCTCCCTTGACAGGGAGGCTCAGTTACTCATTAGTGTGAAGGATTAATATGTGTGTGTGACTGTCCAGCCATCTTCAAGGTGACTTTGCTTTGGGATGATGGATGCTTCCCATAAAGGACAGCTTGCCCCCCTCAGAGTGGGTCCTCTGTCTGAGGAGGATCCCACCATTCGTCACCTGTCTTCATTGTCTCTTGTGACTGTAACAATATGCTTCACAACAAGTCAGTAACGGGTGGTCCGTGGATCATTTGATTTAACTTTGGTGGTGGTCATCTTTGCCCAATTTATCAGTATGATCCCCCAAAACAATTCCAAATACTTGATATAGTACCTTAAAAACAAGTAGTAGTTACAGCATGAGACATTAAATTTAGCTCTTTGGCGCATGGTAACAAAATGCTGAATCTCCATGTTCAGTTTGGACCCTTGGTAATGGTTAGCAGACGGCTGCCAGATGACCCGAGAGGGTAGCCACAGCCTTTATACTGCATTTATGTTCTGGTGAGAAAGTGCAACATCTGGTACTTTCAGGTTTGTTTCTAAAACAGTATTCACATGCTGTTGGGTGCAACAAATCAGTCCAGTCTGCATCATATCTGTTTTCAATCCCTCCAGGATTTCACAGGCTTTTTTGGGAGAGATTGTTGCAGCCTATAATGCCTGATTTCACAGCAGCTTTTCTATAAAATTGCAATTTTTGTTAATGTTTTTAGGCTCTTTTTGCAATGAAAGTGCAGGAGCATGTGAAATTGTGGCGATTTTAGTGTGCAAAAAATGTTGATCAAATCCAAAGGCTACTTGCTCTAGTGAGGATAAAATTGCATTAATCTGACTTACCTTGATTCTGTTAGCATGTGCAGTAGATCTGGATGCAAATGCTTCCTTCTTGGTGATTTGTCTTGTCTAATGACAATGCTCAAGCCATTCTCTGGGTCTGTTTTGTGTTAGAAAAGTGTTTGTCAGTCAATGATTTTGGTTAATGTTCCACCACAACGTCGCACACAGTGCAAAACAATTTACCACTGCTTTCGTGCAGAACATCAGGAAACTGCCTTGCACGGTCTTTAGCAGTAATTTTTGTTGGTAAATGTGAGACGTTCATGTTGCACATGTCTGCAGCTTCACAACTAGAAACAAGGAAATTAGTTTGGTGATGTATGCGGGGGACTGCTTTGATTGGCGAACACACAACAAACTGAAATTTGTGGAAAAGTTGTGGTGATTTGAAAAATTGCAAGGTTGTGCAGAATATACTGGGATTGGTTGAATTTGTATCCATCAAAACATCCTGGAGGGGCTTTGTTTGATATCACCACAGTGAATTATCACCCATTGCTGCAGTTCCCCTCAACTCTACAGAGCATTTTAGCATCTTTCAGCCTGTTGTTTTGGTTCACCAGCCTGCAAACTCAGCTCATTTCTAGCAGAAGCTGTGCTGAGTGAAAACAAAAGCTGGTGAAGAAATTAAACATTTATCAGCTGAAAAGGAAGTAAATAGAGACCAAATGAAAGGAGAGTGAATATACAATATCTTATGGACACAATGAGTCTAAATTAATCCTTATGTCTCCTTGATCTGCTCGATGTGTGAGGATAGCATATTCATAATAATCACTTAAATGTGCCGTTGTTGTGTTTTCAGTTTGTTTTGATGCCGCCAAGTGGCCAAAAAACCCCCACAGTCATCGCAACTTTAAAGACAATTCATTCGTAATCGTAGTTGCAGCTGTACTTATCCTAAAGGCTGCAGCTTGTTCAGCATCTGCACAGGTTTGGTCTGGTTGCCGTTAAGTCTCTGTCTTGCAGCTCAGATGCTGATTGAGTTTGACTACAGGTTACACAAAGGAGCTCTGTCTATAGGAAACACTGTACTCTGTGTATACAGTATATATAGGCATACATGTGTGTTTGTGTGTGTGTGCTTGGTTGCCTCTTACTGAGATCCACGCAGAGATAACACAAAGTGTTTTAGTGGTCAAACTCTTGCTGGGGCTTATTTTTCTACTTGCTCAACTGCAGAAACTGAATCATCGCAGTCTTACACAGAAAGCATTCACCGCTCTGAACGGTCCAGCCTCGACTTTAAATCAGCAAACATTTCATTAAATTACACCTGGGTTAAATGAGTCAATATTTAGTTCCATTAGGAACCTCCTCCACGGGTAAATATTTGGGGAATTAGTCGGTGTTGTTTTAGTTTGAATGGGAATGTTTGTGTAAGTGTTCAGGGCCTCGGCATCAGCTTCAGACTGAAACTGCTGTTAACGGTCAGACTGCGATCCCAACAACCAATAAATCAAGTCCATACAAATGTAATTTTCCACTATGAAATGAAATGATTGGCCTATGTAACCTGCACTTACATATACAGTGTATTTTTAGCTTCTCTTAATGTTCAGCCACTCAGTCAATCATAATATCCCAGCCCGCAGTAGACGATGGACTCTGTGGGTGATGAATGATGATGTCCTTATTGTGGGAATAAAGAACAGACTCATCCTCTGTCTACTGAGCTGCCACTTCTCTTACAGACCACTGTTGTTTCCCACTGGCCTCATGAGAGAAATGTGTCTTCAGTCTGATAGTTTGCTGTCCTCACTGTTTGTGTGTGAGCTCTGTGCGAACCGTTTGGCCCTGATTGATGAGCTTTGCTCCGGCCAGGGAAACTAGATAGATGTGGTCTCCTCCTCCTGTTATATACTGTAAACAACAAAAGCACCTCTGAGAAGAATAAAAGGGAGAGTGTATTAATGTAGGCCGAAGTCTTAGACAAAGTGTGGTGCAGTCACAACTTCAAATCATCCTCTCTGAGCCCTTTAATCATGTGCCTTAGATGCTTTATGGTGACTATATCTAATGTGCTTTGTTGTGTTTTGCAGCTATATGACTGACGGAGGTTTGGGTCTGTACACACGGCGCCTGAACCGCATGCCCGATAGCATGGCCGCCGTCCGAGAGACGCTTCATCGAAACACGTCGTCAGGACAGGGAGATGCTGACAGGTAAGTCAAAAAACACCTCTTGAATCTCTTTGAAATTATCCGTTTGTGATGTTCTGTTCATTTCACAAGTCATTTTATGATTTGGTGCTTTAGTTTCCTTTTTGGAGTAACTGGTTTCCCTCAGCTTGTTTTGTCCACCTCCACTGATTCCAGTCAATTCACATTTGTTTAATTCTTTCGTAATGCAAAGAAGTAACAAGCAAACATGTTTCAGTTGATGCCTATTTCAGTGTGCAGGCTGTGTGAGCCAAAGATGCAGCAGATATCAGTTTTTTAAGTTTTTACTCAAAGTGAGAACCAGTTTACCTTCCTTTGGAATTACAGTTTTGGCCATTTTAATGCACCAGGTAAACAAGGGGTGAGAATGGTGATCTTTCAACGTATTGGACTATTTTTGCTTGGACTACTTACGCTTTTATATGCCTCTTATATAACATGCTGAACTTTGTGTTTATCCAGTTAGGCTTCTACAGTAAGGGCCTTTTCATAGTCGACGCACCCAGCGCGAGCAAGTGACGCAAGCGACGCGAGCAACGCACTTCCTTTCATAGTCAACACATTGAACGCAAACGACGCAGGTGACACTTGAAATGCAATACATCGCTCGCGCAGTAGGGGGTAGCAGAGTGACCGGTACATTCCAGCTAGCTAGTACTGCTGTAGCTAGCTAGAACTATCATATAAATGGGGGTGTGCCCGTACAAGTTCGCAAATTTTCCTCCTCGCCCGCCATATTTTCATACCTGCTTCTTCTGTGAATAACAAAAAGTGGTTAATTTCAAGTACATCGCTTGTATTATCACCCCGCTGGCAACGCATGGTATTACACACCTCGCTGCGTCACGTATCAAAAAAATGGACAACACATTTTGAGACGGAAGCACACATCATGGCGGCCAATGCGTCTCAATGCATCCCAATGCGTTCGCATCTGCATGCCTTTGCGTCGACTATGAAACGGCCCTAAGTATAGTTGGTAGATATATCTGATGGTTGTTGTACTTCCTGGACTGTTAACTGCTTCCATCAGAGCAAAATGAAAAATAATTTCATCACACTGTATGTGCTGTGTAAGTATGTCATCTGGAAGTGTCCTAAAAGTTAAAATACTGTTTGGTCCTCTTTTGGTGTCACTGGCCTTGGTCGACATACTTGTGAACAGAATAGTGAAATTTATCACTTAGGAGATTTAAAATAGTGTGTTTATGGGTGTAGGCATAAGAAAGTGTAGAGTGCATTGGTTTAATTTAGAGCTGCTACAATTAGTTGATTAATCTAATAATCAGTTAACCAATTGACAGAAAATTAAGGGCTGTTTTCATATTCAAATCATCGCTGTAGTCATTATTTAAGGAAAAAAGACAAACATTTGCTGGTTTTATACATCTTAAATTTAAGAATTTGATGCTTTTCCTTGTCATACATGGTAATAAACTTAGCAGCTTTGGACTTTTGGACTCTTGGTCAGATAAAAAGTGCCGTTTAAAGACATCACTGTGGGCTCTGGAAAATTGCACAGGGTATTTTTCACTATTTTCTGTATTTATAGACTAAGACGTTAACAGCTGAAACACAATCATATCCTGTCTAATGTATAATCTCTTAAAAAATGTTCTCTCTGTTTCACAGTGTGATATTGTACAAGGTTTGCTCAGACTTGCACGACTACACGTGGCAATGTGATGTGAATGAGCTTTGTGCAGCACTGATCCTAAATATTGGAGAGCAGCAGTGAGACACATGTATCTCTGTCCGTATTATCAGGATATATTGGCCACAGCATGTAGGAAAGTGAGAAGATTGAATATTTGTGTATCTGTGGGACTTTCCAGAGAGTCCCGTGACAGCGTGAGCGATTCAGTGTGATGCTGCAGTCTTTGTCCTGTCACAGAGATGGAGAGGGATTTGGTTTCTGGCTAATTGACAGACGGAAATGGATGAAGGCCAAGCAGAGTCCCGCCATGCTGCAAGATGAGGATGGGGGGTAGACAGAAAGATAGAGAGTAGAGGGGGAGGGAATAAGAAGGATATGAAGATGGACTGCAGAATGAATAGAGAGGGATAGAAAAATAAATGAATGAGGGGTAAACTGGGTGAGACAAAGGACTGACTGGTTGCCTCAATTTATATCCATCAACATGTGATCTTTTATTTAACAGAAATATAAAGTTTTTGTGTTTTTTAGGATGGCAATATTTGACATTTTAAACAAAGCTTTACAGCCTTACATCAGCCTTAAAGTGGGTACACACAGAGACGTGCTGGTGTGCATTGTTGACATCTTGAGTGCCTTAAGCTGCCTTTTCCGTAAATCCTCAGGTGTGGCTAATTTCCTGTCCTCCAGACTTTTGACCTTTGCCCTCTTGATGCCTTTTACCCCGCACACACACACACACACACCCTCAGTCTTCCACATTAAACTCCCCCAGCCCTTAGGTGGGGCTTTACACAAACTGTCCCTCTCCTCACCTTTCCTCTCTCCCTTTCCTCCTCCCTTCCCATCCAGGACTGTCTCTCCTCTCATCTTTCATTTTCCTCTTGCTTGTTATGATTAGAGACCGTAGTGAGTCAAAGAAACTGGAAACCAATTAAATGATAAAAAGTTGGGGGATTCCTCTTCTTTCCTGTTTGATTTTGTGCTTTCATGTCTCTCTGTGAGGTTTAATCGACCAAGTCGGCAGATGTTATGTTTCTCCCTGAACTCCATTTCTCATGATCTTCAGTCAGCTTCATTACTGCTTTCATAAGATTAGAGAGAAGGGCGAGGAGAGAGTTTTAAAATTAAGAGCGGATGAGGTGACTCCCCCCTCCAGACCACACCTCCTCTCCCCCCTGAAGGAATGTCTGATAAATGTGCTTACTGCTTTTAGTTTGGGATTAATTAGCAGAGGTGGAGAAGTGGCAGATAAAATGCATTAGCATAACAAGCGGAAAAGCCAGAGGAGCTGGAGGGTGAACGAGGGTGACTGGTGTTCTGTTGTAAAAGATGAGACTAATTTAATACATGAGAGGGGGGTTAATGGTGCAGTTTGGGCAGGTGAAGGAGAGTGAGCATCTTTTTCCAACATTTTGTGGTTTGTGAGTGTCACAGTGGAAGATCTGAGCTCAGAGGTGTGTGCGGTCTGTATTTGCTCACTGGGTGTGTGACCCATCTATAAACCTGCTATAGTTCAAATGCTTCCTTTTACATCCTCTGGTTTGTGATGCAGCGGAGCCTCTCGGAGCTGGTGGGGAAGTGGGGGTGGGGGAAAGGTGTTGGGTGTCACTGTGGCATTAGGGTAAAAACCTCATGACCCCTGGAAGAGGAGGTCACGAGCTTCAAAGGGTCGGGGTTCACAGTTAGGAGCGTTCCTAACACTGTTAAGCCTTCACACTAAATCTTCCAGATCAGAACAAACCTGCACTAATGAGGAGCGTAAAGGATGCAAGTAGAAAAACACAGCAGTGAACTGCTTATTCAGATAATAAGAAACCAATTAAAGGACATATCATCTCATTATCTGAGTTGGGGATTGATGTGACTGCTGGAAGTTATCACTGCAGCTGATCCGTTGGAGGTGCAAGAACTAGTTTTACCAACTGTCAAATGTATGCAAAGCAGTGAGTGGAAGCCAGCAGAGGATCACAGTGACTCACGGGACAACAGGACCTGTGAGGCTGAGTAAACAGGCAGAGACAATAGAGGATTCTGTGTATGTGTGAATGTGTGTGCGAGCATGTTTATCCCTGTCATTTATCTCCGCGGCCGGAGAAAGAGGAAGCAATCTATAACTGTCTGTCCTCTGATTTAAATTCTCTTTGTTAAAGCAGACAAAAGGAGATGTCTTTGTGGTGTGAAACCGCTGTAGCTGCGTGGCAGCGTGTTAGCACCCCCTCTTGCTGAGGCGTTGAAGATATCATTTCTCTTTTCCAAATGAGAATGTGACACAAAGAAAGCAGAGCTCCACATAAACCACTCAGTTTGAGGCAGACTGATGCTTTCATATGTGGCCGGGCGGTAAAGGATCCTACTAATCTTTTAGACATTTGTGCAAATGTGTCTTTTCCTCCTCTCTGTATTTTTTTCACTGGTATAGTCAGCAATGGCAGTCTTTATTTTGTATGATCAACGTGTAGCACTGAAAACATGGTTGATGTGAAAAATTAACACACAAACTCAAGGTGATCGACGAAATCATGTGAAAGCTATATAAAAAAGACTTCTACTCACAAGTAAAAGCACTACATACTACATACGCAGCAAAATGTGCTAAAATAGGCAGTAGCTACCTCTCCCATTGTCAGTATACAAGGGCCGTGTCGTAGCTCTGCAGTCTACGAGTATGCCTTTTTGTTTGATTTCTTACTAGTGTATCACATTTGGCATCTGGAACCCACTGGGAAACAATTTAGTAAACAGTCTTTAAAACTTGGTGCCGAATTTGGAACGATGTTTGAGCACTGCTAGGGGCAGAGATGGATGTTTTGTGGCAGTGCGTCATTGCATTGCGTCAAAAAAGAGGTGAAAATTTGCACGTTCGTCTGGCTGTCATAATTCCATCACTGCTGATTGGGACCGATCCGAGCTGGAGCCGATAAATACCCATGACTTCTACGGAGTAGGGCTGCCCGCTAATAGTCAACCAAATGTTAGTCGACCAGAAAGGTCATTAGTGGGCAAGATTTCATTGGTTGCTTCGTCATAAAAAAAAGTGGGGCAGCCTTACTGCAGAGTAAGGCTGCAGTAAGGCTGCAGCCTTACTCTGCAGAGTCATTTTTCCTGAGAATGAATGCTGTTAAAACTATTCTGATAAAAATAAAAGTCAGACGTTAGTGGTTGTTTTTTGTCCAGTGGGTAAGGGGCTTTACAAAGGCTGGTCTTGTCATTTAAAGGCCGATTGGCATCGTTATCAGAAGACATGAGAGGTTTTGTATCAACATAAGACACCTGACTGAGCTCCAAAGAATCCAGATAATCTGTACTTGAGCTGAAGTTACAAGAGATTAAAGTGGAAATAGAC